TTAGTTTTAATAGATATTTATACCTGGTCACATAATGTGTAGATTGTGTTGGTTTTAACATTTGTTTGTAGCAGTTATGTTAGCCCACATATAAAGTGAATATTGCCACAGGTATTCATTGATTTTAAGATTTATTTACCATATTAAATGCCTACTAGTACTCTGGTATAGATGCCTCATTCTATCTTTAAGCAATATCAGTGAATCTCATTTTAATTAGTTGATATGTTGACATGTGTTTCATTCTGTTCTTTTAATTTATCCCCATGAACAAGCCCGTGCATTTGTATGTTGGTTATACATTTCATTCATGTTTATTTGATTTACCAACAGACAATAAAGCATCCGTGAATGTCAGCAATTCTGATGGTGCCACCCCACTGCATGACGCTGTACAGAGAGGTGATGTAGACATTGTAGACATACTGGTGAAGAATAAAGCCAATTGTCATGCTAAAGCTAATAAAGGGTGAGCTGAACAGTTACTATCCTGTTGACGACAGATGTTGCCATGATAATGTTTTGTTCACAAGTTAATGTGTGGTTTACATCAATACACAAGTGCCAAGTATAATGTTCCATTTATCATATTGATATTATCTGATACATTGCTAGTTATATCCATAGTTTTAAATAATACCCGATAGTTTTTGCTATCATACACAAAAGCATCTTAAATATAAAAATTTTTTTTTTTCGTCTGTGGCCGGAGCAATTTATTTTTAAAACTACCCATGTTTATATAACGTTGAATACCATGTTTTTATGACTTGGGAAGAGGGGCATTCTTAAATCGTGGATATGTATGTAGCTTTGAAAAAACCATGGGTAATTAAAGACAAATATTTCATAGTCATGTTGCAGAGTTGTCATGGCTTCATTATCGTATTAATTATTTCCTTACCTTAGCATGGGAATTGATGATCCTCATCATTCATCCCTGTATTATTAGGTACACTAGGCACAAATTCTTTATATTAAACACGTATAATATGTTAATATGTGCTTTTGCTGAAAAATTAATCATCCATTTTGTACCAGTGTAAATTCTTTCATGTTTATGTCGGAACACATAACAAAATATACATGTACATCAAATTTAGCTAGCGACTTTATAAGTGCCTAATATTAATATTAATATATATTATATTATATTATTATATTAATATTACTCTTGCAGTGAGTTCTTATGTTGAAAATCATTAAAGTGCTAAATTAAGTTACAAATCAAAATTTTACCTGAAACGCTGCAAGACGCACATCAAGTTTACATTGTCTGTCCTCAGTTTGTTTGTTTTTTCAATCTGGGGAATCAGTCAGTACGAAAATATGAATGAGTATTTCACGGCAGATGAAAGTGATTTTCCAAATATATAACGGCATAAAAACACCAATGTGAACAAATGCATGTTAATGCCTTCATATACTTATATGCAGTAATATTTGTGTTGATGACATTGTGTTAATAATAACACCATAGTTTATATTTTTTTTGCAGTACGTTTGCTGGTAAAACTCCACTGGATTGTGCCATTGACAAAAAAGAAATCTACCAGATATTATCCTCAGTGCCAGTCGTTTTAAATAACCTGCCTAATGGTTTGACAAATGGAAATGATTCAACAGGTTGGTGAATGTCTAATTCTAGCATAATTATTTCTTTATTGTAAATCATGTACATTATTTGATGTGAAGGGAAAGAGACAGGTATGACTGCAAAGTATTTGATAACTTAGTACGCATATACCACTTCCTCACACCTTGACCTCACATTTGCCAATTGTCAATTTCTATGAAGAATTTGTTTCTATAATGGGTTTCCTTATTGAGTTAAAGAACCTACATGTGTTCTCCCCATGGCCTTTTAAGCATTGTACCACCATGCTTGAATTTAAAAAAAAAAATGATAGTTACTGATATGCAAATGTTGTTTATTTTAATGAAAATGTTGACTTATTTACATAGTAATAATTAGTTACCATTCATATGCAAATTGGCCACCATGCTGGGACGTAATCCAATACAGTCGGTCTTGGATATATATGCCCATATCAACACCATAATAATCATAAAATAACATTTTTATTAATGATGATATAGAGTAAAATAAAACGTACAGATGAAACGTATCACTAGTATGTCCCTGGGTCAGAGGTAAATCATATTTCAATTAGTAAATATGATGCTAATAAACCAGACATGTGTAAAACATTCAAATGGGCATCCACAGGTTTTTCTGAATGTCTAAATTGCGTTCATATTGTAAAGTACTTTATTTTCGCTTAGAATTTGTTTTCACTATTTTCACTAAAGAGGATGACCAAGTGAAATAAAAATCCACTACCTTTTGTCCTGTATTTTAAAAATCAGTGAAAATAAATTCCTTACAAAACACCCAAAAAATTGATTGTTTCATTGGAAATTAATTCCAGCTATGAAATAAAGTATTTGACAGTATGTATAGTAAAAACATTAAAAGTAAATTGAAAAATTTAAAACGGCAACCCGCACCAGTGTAAATTTATTATTTGTTAAAACAATGTGTAGATTTTGTAAAGCAATTTGTAATTGTTCCTATTTATTGCATATTAAACATTTTAATAAATAACAGTTGTGAGTAACATTTCTGAGTAAAATTGTTGAAAGTGTTGCACCAAACATGACATACTGGTATACATGATGAAACCTCGTCAAAATTAGGGGCAACCACTGCATAGTCAAATATAGATGTTATTGCCTACCCCAAACTTTTTTTGGGGCAGAAATGAAAAAAATGGTGCAAAATCACAAAAGATTATAATCAGAGATGAATGAAATTATTTTATCAAGAATTTTGGCTAAGTTTGGAAAAGTTAACTGTAAATACTTATATCATTAAACATAGTTTTGTTAGTCTATCAGTAAGTTAGTGCAAAGTAAATTAATGTTAGAAAAAGAAAACAAAAACATTAAACTCTGACTACCCTACCTGTTTTTTAATATACACATTTTTTGATCCACACAATTTTTGTTTGACCTCATGAGAATATCCAGATTAGAATAACATTAAAAAATTACGCAATTTAATACATTGTTGTGTCTCGTGCATCATCATGATGCAGAATATGACAGTGATGATGTTCTCCTGTATACTGCTAATACAGGTAAGGTATATGATTGTGTGGGTTCATTCGAGAAGAAAACCATAATTCCAAATAAACACAGAAATCTGTGGAAAAAAAACTAACTTTAGTGACAAAGTTTAAAATATGTTAGTTTGTTTTTCCATGAAGTGTCGGCGCAATAATAAATCACTCATAACAAAAGTAAAATGCATTCTGTGTGTGAACATGTTATACTCGCAGACAGACTTGTGGTTGTAGACATTAGCTCTTCACCTGTTCCATACAGGCTGATATCACCTGAAACAGGGCTTCATCTATATTTATAGTGTCAAATTAATGATTGTTTTGCTTTTTTCAGTTGAAGACATTTCAACAAAACCTGACTCGAGAATACTTGACAGCCCTGTTCCTTCCTATAGCAGCGAAGTAATTGGGACCCCTTCAGAAACTCCCTTGACTGTGTCAACAGATAATGTCATTGATAAGGTACATAGATTTCCTAGTATACATAAGTGGTATTTTTATTATGAGAATTATATATGTATGACAAGGCGTACATTTTAGTATGCACAGCTGTTACTGCTGTCGTCACTGTTCATGAGTAAATCCTTCTGGTCTAGATTTTTCGTATTCGCATTGGTTGCAGGTATGAGAAGCCAATGTTTGCTGTTATCTGTAGGTGATATAAATGTGTTCTATTCTGACCATGTGTTTTATGTGACCTACTGACCCCTTCTATCAGTTGGGTTTCTGATCAGCTGATACCAAGGATTTCATTTGATGTTGCGACCCATTTTAACCTTTAAGCCGGCTGCCATCTGTGACGCTTACCGACCACAATAAATGGTGGCCATGTCATCAATTTAAAAAAAAATAGTTTCCACATTCATGTGTGAAAAAATTGTAACCACTTTTGTACTTGTAAATTTACCTGCAGCTGAATGAAATGTTGTCCAGTTCAAATTTGCGACAGTCAGCGCCATCTCTGGTTACGGACGCAAGATTGCACCTTTTGTGGCCACAGCCACAGAGAATAGTACAGAGACAAGGACCACCATTTCATCCACAACAATTGCTAAATATCCATATAGGTAGTGGACCTGACAAAGGTAAGAATTTAGTCTGTGTTAAGAATGAAATGAATTATTGTATTACTTTTGAAAGGAGTAAATAGGTCAAGTTTAAACCTGGAATTTATACGAGTAACTAACCTAGAATGATCCTAGATTTTACAATTTTTCAGTTTATTAAATCT